TGGGTTCGAGGCCACCCTGGTCTACACAGTGAGTTCCAGGCCATCTGGGGCTACAGGGAGGCCCTATCTCAAAAAAAAAAAAAAGATAAGGAAAAGAAAAAGGTGTGGACCATCGCACCCAGCCCAGAGAATGAGCTTAACTTCTCATTTTCCTGTGTCCACCTCCAGAAAGTTGGAATTACAAGTATACCTTACCACACTCAGATTACAGATGGAGAACCAACCCAAGGCTCTGTGCATGCCAGGCAAGCCATCTACCAACTGAGCTGCAGAGCCATCTCAGAGTAAATTATTTAAGATGTTAACAATAACTGAGCCAGGTGTGGTTCAGACCTTTAGAACCAACACTTGGCAGGTGGAGGCGGGAAGATTAGAGTTCAAGGCCAGCCTTGTTAAACAGCTCGAGGCTAGTCTTGTAAAACAGTAACAAATAAAAAAGTATATAATATTTTATTTATTTATTTTGTTTGTGTATGGGTGTATTGTATATAGGGAGGTGCACCTGTGTAGTGCTATGCCCATGGAGGTCAGAAGAGGGCAGAAGAGGGCGTTGGGTCCCCTGGAAATGGAGTTACAGACCATTGTTAGCCGCCATGTGGATGCTGGGAACCAAACCCGGGTCCTCTGCAAGAGCAATCTCTCCAGTTCCTTATTTATTATTTTTATTCATTTATTTTCTAAGTGTATGAGTGTATTGCTTGTATATAGGTAGGTGCACCCATGTCCTGCAATTCCCATAGAGGTCAGAGGAGGGCGTTGGATTCCCTAGAACTGGAGTTACAGTTCTTAGCTGCCAAGTGGGTGCTAGGATTCAAACCTGGGTCCTCTGCAAGAGCAGCCAGTGCTCTTAACCACTGAGCCATCTCTCCAGCCCCATCCAATTATATCTTTAAAAGCACCAGCTGAAGAAATATGAATAATTATGATTAACTTATGATAAAGAAGCCCTAATGCTCCCTCACTTCTCCATGCTTCCAAGGGAAGCCAGCTACAGTTGAGTAGGACCTTTGACTTATCCTCACATAGAACTGGTAAAAGAAAGGAGCCAGGGGCTCCTCCCAAGCCCATGTGACCCCTGAGGAAGATATCCTCAACCGGCTTTAAGAATAAAAATAAATTGGTTTGCCTGGAGTGGTGGTGCACGCCTTTAATCCCAGCACTGGGGAGGCAGAGGCAGGCGGATCTCTGTGAGTTCAAGGCCAGCCTGGTCTACATACATTGTACGGCCCGGCCTTTTAAACACCCAAAAGGAGAGTAAAACCAAAGATTAAAGGGGTCAATATAATTTTTTAAGAGTCCATATGTATAGCCAAAGGCTACATAACAAGAAACAATGGCAGATAGGAGACACCTTCTTTTGAGTTGTTGGCCAGGGTGGCCCAAGAGACTCCCAGGTAGTAACGCAGCATAGAACTGGGAAAATGAACAGCAGACCCCAATCTTACCTAAAGGAATATTGACAACTGTTGCTAGATGAGGAACAGCTAACCTTACTAAAACAAAGACCTCTAGATAGGCTGACTAGATTCACCAGATGGACAAGTACTGGGGAACAGGTGGGGGTCCCGACAACACAGCAGACAGTAACAGGGATGACAGAGTATAAGGGCTCTAGTTGGTTGCGGGGGGTGAAGACTATGGGAGGGTGCCATCTGGGAAGTGGGTGTATAGATGAATAAGATCATTTGGGATGTTCTGTGTGATATACACACACAAAAATCAACAAATTAAAAAAATGAGTTATATTTGAGGAGGAAGCATAAAAATTTACTTCATGTTAATTAGTAGAGGTGATAAACATTACCATTGAAATCGACTGGATGACTTTATGTCTGTACAGAGGTGCCAAGGATCCGACTATGACTAGTAATAATCAGATACAGATTAGAGATGCATGCACCAACATGTTATTAGCAAAAACAATGAGTCTTTCTGTAAGAAACAGTATATTTTAAAATGAAATGGATATCTTTTTTAAAGGTTAAAAACTCATTCAATTTTGTCTAACAGGGTCTATACTGAGTTCAATATTGTATATAATTCAACTGTGAACCTAAAACAATTTTTTTTTCTCTTGGTCTTTTTGAGACTATTTCTTCCTGTAGCCCCAGCTGTCCTGGAACTCAGTATGTAGACCAGGCTGACCTTGAACTCAGAGGTCGGCCTGCCTCTGCCTCCCAAGTGCTGGGACTAGGTACAGGCCTGCGGTTACCGCGCCTGGCAAACCTAAAAATTTTATAGCCACTTTTGAAAGAGATATATCTTTGCTCTGGAAACTATTATTGAGTATGTTAAAGCTGTAATGAAATGCTTCTAAAAAATAAAGAAAAAACAACAATATAAGTCTCTTGAAAACAAGTCAGGAGTTAGAAAAAAAGCGGACAACGTGCGCATGCACCGGGAACGGAAGGCGGGATTTCCTGTGAATCTTCTCTTTTTATTGGAGGAGAAGGCTCCGGCTGCTGGTCACGAGACAGGAACCGGAAGTAGGGTTGCGAAGGTAGGGCTGCGCTATCCTGCGTTGGAGTTTTCTCCGGGATCAGCTCCGAAGCTCCTCGCCTCCACTCGGGTAGTTGCGCAGCTGCCTAGCGTAGCGTTCGCCATGGCGCTTAGCGATGCCGACGTGCAGAAGCAGGTGAGGGGCAGGCACGGGCGTCGCGGGGCGTCGGGGTCGTGGCGGCCGGGGTGCTGCTGGTTTGCGCCGGCAAGGTTTGCTTACTGGGGCGGAGGGTAGATTTGCACCGGATGGCTCGTGACCGCCGCTCTCTCAGGCTCCCACTTGACTCCCGCAGTTTGGAACCCGACTGCCTGCCTCCTCTGCAATCCCTTTTTTCCTGAGCTTAGTCTGTTCAAAGGTTGAAAACAGCTTTTTTTTCCACCCCCTGAAGAGAACGCCCCGCTGTCTGATAGGAAAGAGATTGTTGGAGGAAGAGCAGCTTCCATTGTTTTTAGGACATTCATTGTATAGAACAGGGTTCTTCATCTCGGGGAAGTCTCCTTTATCACCCTGATGTACAAGTGTTCATCAATATTTGTTAAATGGAAAAAACCACAGCGAAAAAGCGTTTCGCACCGGATAGATGAGTTAGGGTTTATGGAAAATGTTATATAAGTCACGAACTTAGGTCAGTTTTTTCTTTTCCTTTTTTTTTTTTTTTGGAGGGGGGGTTTTTTGTATCCCACGCTGGGGTCCAGCTCCTATCTTGG